AAGCATCAGCACTTGCCCCCGATATGCTACATCATTGTTAGCACCAACCTTTTACCAATTTCTGCCACTAAGCTAAGAGGATGATGAACATACTTCTTAATGACCGCATTTCTACAACGTTAAATTTATTTTCATGCTTCTTCTACCAACTTTCACTACCATATATTAAAGTGGTAAGGTAGTGAGGTCTAATATAGCAATGTGAACATATTAACGGCTATTGTATGCATTAAGGTATCTAGTGGTATTTCCAGATGGCCTTGTCCCCTGAAAAGCTATGGCCGACGAAGCCGAAGCCATGCGCGCAAAACAGTTAAATTCACTTTGAAGTGTACCGTTACCGTTACAAAATATTAAAGTCAACAGCTGAACCTACCTAACCCACATATATTTAGGTCTCGTATGGGGGATATTTGCCATAGTTGCCACGCTAGGCAACCGGCAGGCTAGGTAACCGCAGTATTTTATTTTTAGTCGTCATTAGGAAGACGCTGCTGCCCATCTCCTGGTTTGTTTCCCTCTGTCGCCTATTACTACACCCACGGGATAATATGAGGTAATGGATATTCTTACACTGCCACTACACGGAAATAGATCATTACAAAACATAATATATATATTTTAAAAAAATTAAGCAAAAATATTGTTCGTAAAACAATTAACAAAAAAATTTTGATTACAACATTATTTGAATAAACTAATTGATAAACCTTTTTGATACTTAATTCTAATTTTGAGTTAGTAACCCAAAATCCTGGGGTAATCAACGGCAATTCTGGGATGGGCGCGGTTTACCCGGCCCTCCCGCTATACATGCCAATGATTATACGACGTCTACATGGGTTTTCCTTAGGTAAGGTCTAAGTGCCGAATTGAATCGTGATACATCTACATATGTTCTAATATCAGCCAGAACTTGAGTTTAGTAATGCATAAATACCTACTGTTTTCGGTTTAATTTTTTTCTATAAAACTAAAGTGACAAACGAACAGCCTATCTGATGCTAAGTGCTACTGCAGTGGACACCTGTAGCCAACTTGAAGCAAAGGACACTACTGATGTGTTGTTGACTCTGAGGATAAAAATAATCATGCCTGTAATTATACTGGCTCTCTTGACCCTTCAAGCAAAAATCACGGGGTAGCCCTAACTGCCTCCAGCACCGGTCACCATCCTCTTCAGGGGTTACATTGCTACCCTTCGAGGCTCCCGTCCCGAGCGCCCGTAGCTCTAGAGGCCACGTTTCTGGTAAGGAAACACCATCGTTAAGGGGAGGACCGTGACGAACGCTTGGCGACATCGTCTCTGAGCGGAATCTGTTCTTTCCCGACATCGCTCAGCAGCCTCCTTCAAGAATACAACGGATTCACAGAAGGCGACTACTAGGAAGAGGTTCTGATCGATCCTTTTCACCAGGTCACAGGTCCAGGCACGCTGGATATGTTGCCAGCGTATGGGATGCAGAGTCCCGGACCTGCCCACCACAGTGGAAGCAGTTAGACGTCGCATCGCGTCCGATCTTACACAAATAATCACCGAAGCACCCGGGCTAGGTGCTCGAATTGTTCTTTGAAACCCCAAAGACAGTCCAGGAGGCCTAGGTACTTCATGTACCGCCCCACTTTGATTGCAACCCCACCCACGCGGACGCACAAGTCGGGGGTTCCCTGCCGCGTCGTAATTTATCTCGAGCCTTGGTCTTATGAGGCGCTATTTTTAATACCAAATCGTGGGTTTTGGTAACGAGCATTTACGCCCCAATCTCGGCGAGGAGAGGAGGAGCAGGGAGAGGGCCAGGAAGGGCCTCTCCAAGATACTCCTGCTGGCAACCACTAAAGTATCATCACCAGTGCCCTTCTGTTTGGTAGGAAGGTAGAGAATAGGCATTGACGAAATCGAGACTTATCGCCAACGCCACAGCAACGTGGGATACTGCTTGTTCCGACAGGGTGCGGACACGCATGATGGCATCTACTGTGGAATGGTCCCGTCGGAATCCAAACTGGCTATCGGCCAAATAGAGACTGCCAGACAGATGCCCTTTGAGCCGAGTGGAAACTATCCTCTCGAAAAATTTGCCAATAGGCATATGAGGCGGCATGCAGAGGAAGAATCGGTGGCCCAGACTTCCTTATTCAAGAGGAACAAACTTGCCACTTTCCATGTTTTGGGTAAATTCGCACAGCCGGTAAATAGCTGCCCAAGCCTGACCCTCAGTGCAGTCAGACTTAGCACTAGAGTCCAACCCGGCATACCGTCGGGCCCCAGTATAGTGTTCCGGGATCTTAAGCGGCAAACGGCTCGGTCCAGCTCCCCCACGATGACCACCATCTCATCTTGCCACTCCCATTACGATGGCGAGTGGAAGAGGTTGGTATCTACCCAAAGGGACTCCGTCAGAGAAGGTTCCATGTAGTAAATTGAATATTTACATATTGGTTGTCAATTAACTGTACTCATATCTTTAAATTGTTAATTAATATGAACTACTACTTCATACAGAAGAGGTTAGTTTATTCGTACATGTGGTAGAGTTATGCTGCAGCTATATTACAATTGTAGCACGAATGAGTCTGCTCGACAGGAGAAGTACCATGCTTTCACCGAATGCCAGCGTAAAATAGCAGCTTAATGCTGCTGTGTTTCGTATGGTGAGTGTAGAGAACCGGAGACCCTTTTTACTAGAAACGAGGTATTATATCTTAGTCCTTAAGTGTCTTCAAGACAACAGTGAATCATAATAGTTATATCTGTACAGTAAAGGAGTGGAATAATTTGCCAGCGTCATTCCGTCTGTACTTCAATCGTCGACAATATACTAGTAAAATAAATAAATCAAACGCAATAAAGTTTGTAAAAAAACTAGTTTCATTTCACAATACTCTTAAACTTTTTTTAAAACTTTTCTTAAAAATCTAGTACATCAGTCGAAGGAGCGCATCGGCTCTACTAAAGGTATATTCCTTTGCCCGATGTTCAAGGCCACAAACGTTTATGTAGTTTCAAATTTTTTTTTTGAACTTTGCAATTAAATTTTTACAACCGACAATCGAAAATTTTAATAATCGAAGTAATTTTTTTAGTATAACTATTTACAATTATTTAAGTGTAAATTATTGCATATGTGCAGCTTGATTAGATGTTATGCTACAATTGAAGTTACAATAAGAGCATCTACGGAATTAAACGGAAATTTTTATACTGATCTACGGATTTGGAAAAATTCGAGTTGGTAACTCTGGCCTATATGCAGTGGGCCGATGTCAGTGAACTTGATAGGCTGTAACGAATAAATGAATGGTTTAAATAAGTATTGAAAACTTAACTACTTTAAAAGTGTTAATACCTACATCTATCAAACCAAAGGCACAAGAAAATAAAAACATGCTTTGTCTCTTAAGTTTTGTTCTTTTATAAGACAACTTTTCAGTTAATAAACCTAGCTGTTAGTAATACGGATTTAATGTATTTAATAGTAAAATTATTATAATATTGTAAGAACTTAGTTATTATCTTAGAAATTATCCTCAAAATTATTCTCAAAATTTAAACGCTTTTAAAAAAATTTACTTCGGAAATATCCGCGTTATAAAATAAAATGATGTGTCTTACCTAGTATGAAGAGCACCTCCCGCCCTCCCTCAATTGCGTGCACTATCCCCGTCACCACTAATCCCAGCACCGCTAGTCCCAACACCACTACACTAGGCAAACACGCTACTGACGACATTACGACACGTGTTTCGCCTCTACACGAGGCATCCTCAGGTGATATAGATTAGCGGTTAGTCACCGTAGAGATAGACTCTACTGATCTATCACATAGGGCAGTAACATAGGGCAGCCTCTCAGCAACACGATCTTCCTTGCCTACATTAGCAGAATACCTCAACGGGCACAGTGACGACAGTGAGACTCGTAGAACTACCGACTGATGCCTTTTAGTCGCCTGCGCGATACTTTGTACTGCTGAAACGGGTGAGAGATTCTACTTCTACCTTAATTTGTTCGTATTTACTTTTATTTTTACCCTCATTCCCAAAAATATATTATTCTACCAGTTTCCGACCTCAACGTGAAGGTAGCAGCACTCGTCAATAAAAGCTAGAGAATGTAGTTGTGCATCTTTTGACAGTTACGCACCAAAATTATATATTTATTTATATATTAATTATATATGTATATTTATTTGACATCCGTTTGAGTGAGTCGATGTGAGTGTTTTTGTGAAAATGTATAAAATTCAGTATCGAGCTGTCATAAAATTTTTGTTTTACACAAATCAAAGATGAGTTAGACTCTGTGTATGGGAACTCTGCACCATCATTTACCACAGTGAGTTTTGGGAAGCTGAATTTAAACGTGGCCGTGAGAGCTTGGGACACGATGCACGTTCGGGACGTCCAAAAACTGCAACTATTGACGATAACATGGCTAAAATCCACCAAACGATGCTAGACGACCGCCGAATTAAACTAAAAGAGATAGTGGAGGCTATGGAAATGTCCAAAGAACGTTTTTGTCACATATTAAATCAAGATTTAGGCATGAGAAAGCTGTCGGCGCGTTGGGTGCCACGCTTGCTCACGTTAGACATGAACACAAAAACGTGTTCGAATGAACATTTCCACCGCTCTGTTGGCGCAGTTTGGACGTAATAAATTCGAGTTTTGGCACCGATTAATTACTGTAGATGAAACTTGGATACACCATTATACGTCTTAAACAAAAATACAGTCAAAACAGTGGACTGCAAAGGGGGAACCGGCTCCAAAAAAAGCAAAAACTGTTTTTTCAGTGGTGTTTTTTGACTGTTTTTGGAATAGTCATGGAGTTATCTTAATCGATTATCTTCAAAAAGAAAAAAACATTATAGCAGCATACTACGCATCATTACTTGATAAACTGAAGGCAGAAATTATGAAAAAACGGCCACATTTGCAGAAAAAAAATCTTGTTTCACCATGACAACTCGCCGTCTCACACCTCAGCGGTTGCCATGGCGAAAATCCACAAATTACGGTTTGAACTGCTTGACCATCCGCCTTACTCATCAGATCTAGCCCCAAGAGACTTGTTTTATTTCACTTGTCTAAAAATTTCACTCGGAGGACAGAGATTTTCGTCAAATGAGGAGGCAATTACCTACGTGAACAATTATTTTGCAGGGAAAAACGCCGAGTACTATTTGGACGGATTAGAGCAGGGTTTCCCAACCTTTTTTGATTTGGGACCACATTAATTTTTTTGTAGTTAGCAGGGACCAGTGAAAGAGAAAAATGTGTTAATCTAACAATAAATTATAATCACAACTTTTATCATAATTATATAATAAACTGAAAAGAAGTTTTCGTTAACAGTATTATTTGTGTATTTAATGTAAAACCTAGTAGGCTGTACTTACTAACGTGACGCGCGGTGTTGCACGCGGGTACGTGAGGAGAAAATAATAAATGTGTTATTTAAAACAACTAGATAGGTTAAATATTTAAATTTATCGCGGAACATATTTATGCTCTTGCGGACCACTGGTTGGGAATCACTATGTTAGACAGATGGGAGCATCGCTGGGAGAAGTGTGTAGAGGTACAAGGAGACTATGTACAAAAATAAAAATAAATTTTAAGAAAAAATGTTTTGTATCTTTGTTAGATCGGAAACTTTTCAGACCACCCACGTATATAACTATCATTTAATAGAGTGCAAGATAAGTGCTACAAGTAATTAATTTATAGTCAAAAAATTGTTAAATTGTCTGTTTTAATATTTTGTTTCTTTTTATATATTAAATAATATAACGTATTATAAAAGTGAATCATACGATGTATAAGAGAAAGAGATGAAAATATCTGATATGTGTTATTAAGTATGTAATACAGGCAAATACATATTATCTAGTTTTGGGGTGCCAAAACAACAAGAGAAAAGTGTTCAAAGTCCTTTCTTGCTAAATTGTCGAATCTGAGGAAACAATATTTTTAAACATTTTAACCCTTTGAGTTATATGTGGCTATCATTGTTACAGAGACTCGTCATGGGTTCTATTATGAAAATAAATCTTTTATACAAAGCTTGCTTCATAGTTGCTTAGTAACTTATAGCTATTTCCCAAAGACCTTGCCCCTTCTATTACTACCACACACAGTTAAAACTTACTGTAAGTAATTAAGTTTAATTCCTTTTATATGCACTGTCAACCATATCTAATTAGTATCGTTAGCCTGACGTAAGTAATCACGACAGGAAATATTAGAATATGCATGATCATATTTATGCGGTTGATTGAAGTTAAATGAGTTTAGATTATAAATCTACCTATCTACTTTACCGTTAAGTTTTCTCGAAAGATTACTTGACTCATCAGTGCTATTTTGGTAGAGGCGTCGACGAGTTTGGGCTCCACGGAGTTTCATATTAAAAAAAAAGTGCTGATAGATTGTCCCGTCACGGTTAACTTGAAGAGCTCCTGTCTCTATAAATGTTTCCTCGGTGTAAGAACCTTGTGAAATGTGTAAAAACGATGGTAGACCTGACGGTAGAACTTTGGCCCTTGAGAGAGAGGTAAAGCCCTAGTGTGGGATGCTACGTGCTTAAGTACTTTGGCAACCTTACATCTCAGGGGTATCTCATTTAGAGCTTGGTCGGAATGAGAGGCAGCTGTACCTAATTACGATGCTTAGACGAAAGGCAGCAACGTCAATGACGGGGTAGCCCTAACTGCCTCCAGCACCGGTCACCATCCTCTTCAGGGGTTACATTGCTACCCTTCGAGGCTCCCGTCCCGAGCGCCCGTAGCTCTAGAGGCCACGTTTCTGGTAAGGAAACACCATCGTTAAGGGGAGGACCGTGACGAACGCTTGGCGACATCGTCTCTGAGCGGAATCTGTTCTTTCCCGACATCGCTCAGCAGCCTCCTTCAAGAATACAACGGATTCACAGAAGGCGACTACTAGGAAGAGGTTCTGATCGATCCTTTTCACCAGGTCACAGGTCCAGGCACGCTGGATATGTTGCCAGCGTATGGGATGCAGAGTCCCGGACCTGCCCACCACAGTGGAAGCAGTTAGACGTCGCATCGCGTCCGATCTTACACAAATAATCACCGAAGCACCCGGGCTAGGTGCTCGAATTGTTCTTTGAAACCCCAAAGACAGTCCAGGAGGCCTAGGTACTTCATGTACCGCCCCACTTTGATTGCAACCCCACCCACGCGGACGCACAAGTCGGGGGTTCCCTGCCGCGTCGTAATTTATCTCGAGCCTTGGTCTTATGAGGCGCTATTTTTAATACCAAATCGTGGGTTTTGGTAACGAGCATTTACGCCCCAATCTCGGCGAGGAGAGGAGGAGCAGGGAGAGGGCCAGGAAGGGCCTCTCCAAGATACTCCTGCTGGCAACCACTAAAGTATCATCACCAGTGCCCTTCTGTTTGGTAGGAAGGTAGAGAATAGGCATTGACGAAATCGAGACTTATCGCCAACGCCACAGCAACGTGGGATACTGCTTGTTCCGACAGGGTGCGGACACGCATGATGGCATCTACTGTGGAATGGTCCCGTCGGAATCCAAACTGGCTATCGGCCAAATAGAGACTGCCAGACAGATGCCCTTTGAGCCGAGTGGAAACTATCCTCTCGAAAAATTTGCCAATAGGCATATGAGGCGGCATGCAGAGGAAGAATCGGTGGCCCAGACTTCCTTATTCAAGAGGAACAAACTTGCCACTTTCCATGTTTTGGGTAAATTCGCACAGCCGGTAAATAGCTGCCCAAGCCTGACCCTCAGTGCAGTCAGACTTAGCACTAGAGTCCAACCCGGCATACCGTCGGGCCCCAGTATAGTGTTCCGGGCTCTTAAGCGGCAAACGGCTCGGTCCAGCTCCCCCACGATGACCACCATCTCATCTTGCCACTCCCATTACGATGGCGAGTGGAAGAGGTTGGTATCTACCCAAAGGGACTCCGTCAGAGAAGGTTCCATGTAGTAAATTGAATATTTACATATTGGTTGTCAATTAACTGTACTCATATCTTTAAATTGTTAATTAATATGAACTACTACTTCATACAGAAGAGGTTAGTTTATTCGTACATGTGGTAGAGTTATGCTGCAGCTATATTACAATTGTAGCACGAATGAGTCTGCTCGACAGGAGAAGTACCATGCTTTCACCGAATGCCAGCGTAAAATAGCAGCTTAATGCTGCTGTGTTTCGTATGGTGAGTGTAGAGAACCGGAGACCCTTTTTACTAGAAACGAGGTATTATATCTTAGTCCTTAAGTGTCTTCAAGACAACAGTGAATCATAATAGTTATATCTGTACAGTAAAGGAGTGGAATAATTTGCCAGTGTCATTCCGTCTGTACTTCAATCGTCGACAATATACTAGTAAAATAAATAAATCAAACGCAATAAAGTTTGTAAAAAAACTAGTTTCATTTCACAATACTCTTAAACTTTTTTTAAAACTTTTCTTAAAAATCTAGTACATCAGTCGAAGGAGCGCATCGGCTCTACTAAAGGTATATTCCTTTGCCCGATGTTCAAGGCCACAAACGTTTATGTAGTTTCAAATTTTTTTTTTGAACTTTGCAATTAAATTTTTACAACCGACAATCGAAAATTTTAATAATCGAAGTAATTTTTTTAGTATAACTATTTACAATTATTTAAGTGTAAATTATTGCATATGTGCAGCTTGATTAGATGTTATGCTACAATTGAAGTTACAATAAGAGCATCTACGGAATTAAACGGAAATTTTTATACTGATCTACGGATTTGGAAAAATTCGAGTTGGTAACTCTGGCCTATATGCAGTGGGCCGATGTCAGTGAACTTGATAGGCTGTAACGAATAAATGAATGGTTTAAATAAGTATTGAAAACTTAACTACTTTAAAAGTGTTAATACCTACATCTATCAAACCAAAGGCACAAGAAAATAAAAACATGCTTTGTCTCTTAAGTTTTGTTCTTTTATAAGACAACTTTTCAGTTAATAAACCTAGCTGTTAGTAATACGGATTTAATGTATTTAATAGTAAAATTATTATAATATTGTAAGAACTTAGTTATTATCTTAGAAATTATCCTCAAAATTATTCTCAAAATTTAAACGCTTTTAAAAAAATTTACTTCGGAAATATCCGCGTTATAAAATAAAATGATGTGTCTTACCTAGTATGAAGAGCACCTCCCGCCCTCCCTCAATTGCGTGCACTATCCCCGTCACCACTAATCCCAGCACCGCTAGTCCCAACACCACTACACTAGGCAAACACGCTACTGACGACATTACGACACGTGTTTCGCCTCTACACGAGGCATCCTCAGGTGATATAGATTAGCGGTTAGTCACCGTAGAGATAGACTCTACTGATCTATCACATAGGGCAGTAACATAGGGCAGCCTCTCAGCAACACGATCTTCCTTGCCTACATTAGCAGAATACCTCAACGGGCACAGTGACGACAGTGAGACTCGTAGAACTACCGACTGATGCCTTTTAGTCGCCTGCGCGATACTTTGTACTGCTGAAACGGGTGAGAGATTCTACTTCTACCTTAATTTGTTCGTATTTACTTTTATTTTTACCCTCATTCCCAAAAATATATTATTCTACCAGTTTCCGACCTCAACGTGAAGGTAGCAGCACTCGTCAATAAAAGCTAGAGAATGTAGTTGTGCATCTTTTGACAGTTACGCACCAAAATTATATATTTATTTATATATTAATTATATATGTATATTTATTTGACAGCCGTTTGAGTGAGTCGATGTGAGTGTTTTTGTGAAAATGTATAAAATTCAGTATCGAGCTGTCATAAAATTTTTGTTTTACACAAATCAAAGATGAGTTAGACTCTGTGTATGGGAACTCTGCACCATCATTTACCACAGTGAGTTTTGGGAAGCTGAATTTAAACGTGGCCGTGAGAGCTTGGGACACGATGCACGTTCGGGACGTCCAAAAACTGCAACTATTGACGATAACATGGCTAAAATCCACCAAACGATGCTAGACGACCGCCGAATTAAACTAAAAGAGATAGTGGAGGCTATGGAAATGTCCAAAGAACGTTTTTGTCACATATTAAATCAAGATTTAGGCATGAGAAAGCTGTCGGCGCGTTGGGTGCCACGCTTGCTCACGTTAGACATGAACACAAAAACGTGTTCGAATGAACATTTCCACCGCTCTGTTGGCGCAGTTTGGACGTAATAAATTCGAGTTTTGGCACCGATTAATTACTGTAGATGAAACTTGGATACACCATTATACGTCTTAAACAAAAATACAGTCAAAACAGTGGACTGCAAAGGGGGAACCGGCTCCAAAAAAAGCAAAAACTGTTTTTTCAGTGGTGTTTTTTGACTGTTTTTGGAATAGTCATGGAGTTATCTTAATCGATTATCTTCAAAAAGAAAAAAACATTATAGCAGCATACTACGCATCATTACTTGATAAACTGAAGGCAGAAATTATGAAAAAACGGCCACATTTGCAGAAAAAAAATCTTGTTTCACCATGACAACTCGCCGTCTCACACCTCAGCGGTTGCCATGGCGAAAATCCACAAATTACGGTTTGAACTGCTTGACCATCCGCC